TATAAAAACAGAACTCATTGAAAAACAATTAAATAAATAATATCAGGCGAAATTTCGATTGAATGTACCTACAAGCAAAATAACAGTCACTCCAATAAATTGAAAATTCATTCATTCATTCATTCATTCATTCATTCATTCATTCATTCATTCATTCATTCATTCATTCATTCATTCATTCATTCGATTGTTTGTTGTAAATAACAATCAGAATTGTTGACAACACTAAGTTGTTGATTTTAATTTCTCTTCTAAACTAATTTTTATTTCTAACAAACAGCTTTTTGAAACTCATCTGCAACATTGTTCCTGCTCGTGTTTGATTTCTTGTGAGTATACAAACACACACACACAAACACACACGCACACGACCACATAAACACAAACACCCACTCAAACACATATGATCACCCGCAAACAAACACATATCCATACAAAATTACATACACTCACAAGCACACATGTATACAAACATACCCACTTACGTGTTAATATCCACACAAACATACACACACTCACATGCACACACTCACACACACCGCCAAACAAACGTTCTCCAACAAGCATACCTCTCACAAAGAGATACGAGCAAACAGAAAACTGACATGAAGTGAACGCGATGACGAGATGATTCTTGCTTTGAATGTCTGCCAGAAATATCAGAAACAATGTAGAACATTCATTACCTAGAAAGGCAGCCGTGTGATGATGTGAATGCTTGTTTGCGGTGAGTTGTTGTGTGTGTTGGGAACGTGGTGATATTAAGGTGTGCGGTGTGTGGGGTGTGTTTGTGTCGTGAACGTGTGTGCGTGTGTGTGATATATGTAGAATATGATTACGATACGTGATGATTACATCACATATTATAGAAAAGACCCCAATAGGTGTTGACAAAAATATCGTAATTAATAATTTCCAGTCCGACTGTTGAAAAATTGAGTAATATCGTTGGGATAGTTGAAAAGATAATACTTAAAAGATAATAATAATTTAAAACACGCGTGAGGAATAATTTTGTACATGTTAATAATTGGTAGCTACAAAGGTCTACAATTCTGACACACAACATCCATGAATAACAGCAAGGCTTAAATCACACAACACAATTCCAAATCACAAGATTTACCAATGAAATCAGTAGACAGACAAACAGTAGGACAAACTACGATATTGAGAGTGAGACAGTAGGAACGAGTGGGACAAGAATCGAAAACGAGGACGTTGAACCAGCGGGATAATACAAAATACAAAATGCATAGAGCATTGGGTGAACGAGTTTAGTTAACTCTTGACTTTTGCATGGATGTTTCTCACGTTTTAATGAGTTAACAAATAATTTTATAAATTGTTTTATAAATTTTTATTTAATTATATTGCATTATATCTAATTTCAAATATCTTTGATTTTTGTTGAATTGCATATATAATTTTTAATTTACAAAATGGTTGTAAAGCGAGTTCGCCGAAACAAAATAAAGTTTCCCAAGTAAGATTAGAAATCATCAATATAGTATGGTAAAACATCAACATGACATGGTAGAGAACAAGTCAACTTGCGATGTACATAATATGGTTGACTTCATACGAAGAATGCATGTAACAAATGAGATTATTTAAATGGTTAATTCCATCATCATAATTTGTTGTGAGCACAACCATCTGTCATCCACATATCAATCAGTTAAATTGCAGCACAATGCAAACACATCCCTACAACACTCGCAGCAAAAAGTCTTTAAATAAAAATGTATCTTCAGTACACTTTTTAACAAGAAATTTAAATTTTTCAGACATACCGGTCGATCATCAAATATCCCAGCACACCGCTCCTTCAAACAACCTCACTCATCACCCTTGCACCCTCCAGTGTATCAACCGAATCAATCTGCAAATAACTATCAACACACACAAAAAAAATTAAAACCCAACAACTTTTAAAAAACATCCCAACCACCATTCTGACCAATCTGACTCCAGGAAGATAGAGCCCCGAGAAGACAACAGTAAGCAGTCTTTTTATTAAGTCAGTAAAACTCATTTGTTTTAACCAAAAATGGCTATTTTTACGAAAAAATTTTGTGATGAGAAAAAAAGGTCGTCAGCCGAAAATGTTGGCCCCCCGTCAAACGGTCAACATTGAAACATTTTCAAAAATTGCCCCTTTCCTGATCAACGTTTGAAAAATTGTAAAAATTTAGGCCCCTCCACTAAAGTTGCTTAGATCCGCCTCTGAACGTATAATTAATCAGAACTCACATCATAACATCATACATTTTATAATAAGACTGGGTGGGCATGCGATAGGGACCAACCAGTTGGAGAGAGACGAGTTAACTGGTGGGCTCCAAAGGGCAAGGTCTCCTCGTAAATAACATGAGAACATCTGCGTTGCAAGGAGAGTAACGGAAACAAGTTCAAATTTAACCTTTTACTTGTTTTTCAACAATTTTAAATATTTTTCTAACAAATTGGTTTATTATTATTTTAATAAAACATTTATAAAAATGAGTGAGTCATTTCTCGTTCAATTTCAATTATTAAACTTTACGACATTTGAACACTAATACTCAAGAGAAGATTAAGTCTCTAATTAAATAGTCATTAAATATTTTATATACGTAAACAGTTTTTAGTTATTTAACGTCGAGCCGGGCGAGTTCACAAGAACAAAAAGAATTTCCCTGAGAACAAACATTTTATTGCCCGGTGAATAGCGAAGAATAGAAAATGTTGAAGCATATGATGTTAGTGTGGCCTATAAGGAAATTATTGGATACAAAATTTCAACTTCTGTTTGGTTCCAAAAATAACGTTCAAACTTCAAGTCACGTTTTCTGCTTTCAAATTATCAAAGTCCCTTGAAACTGTAGTTGCAGCGAAATTTGTAATTTGTCCTTAATTGTGTTTAGAATTTAACGTACGTTCAATAACATAACATCAAACGGACAAGACGCTGAAAAGTTTTTCAAATTAAGAATCAGTTTTACTTACCTAATTGTTACAATTTTTTTTCAACTGACCATAACATAAAACAGATTGAAGATGCCACCCCTTCTAAGAACAACACTCATTGCAGAATCAAATTTGATGTTTCTTTACTCTGATGGAGCTGGAAGGAGAAGATGATGATGAAAGATAAATTAAAATTGAATGCAAACAGTTTGTCACTGTTTGTGAAGCTTTTAAAAACTTTCGACTGATTGTAAATGTAGGTGGAAGATATATTTTTCGTGAGTGCCTGCAATTGATGTGGTCTGCTTATCATTTATCTGATATAATTTGTTTTATGATTCATCAACGTTCACATCGCATGTGTGTGTGCGCGCGAGTGTGTGTGCGTGTATATGTGCAAGTGTGTGTGTGCGAAAGTTTGCGCTTTTGTGTTGTGAGAGTGGGACACCAATAACGAACTTATTCAACGTATGAAGATTACCTATGAAGATTGTCGGTAGATGCAAGCGAAGATTAACTTTGCTCTTTTTACAAATATCGTATGATGTTGTTGTGTGCAGTGTTTGTCCATGTACCAGTGGCAGATCTGGGGGGCGGGAAAGCACTGTTGTCCCCGTAACCACAAAAAAATTTTTGAAAAAAATTTTTGAAAAAAATTTGTAAAAAATTCTCCTCCATGATCGTGAAATATTTTTTAAAATGTTGGCCCCCGTCAAAGTTGTCCAGACAGATCCGCCATCGCACTGTGCATAGTGTCTATTTCATGTGAGTATAATGCATAGCAAAACTTCAATGTACATTTCTTGTACAGCTCAATTGCGAAATACAAAAGTACCACCGAAGTACAAGCGAAGGCGTAATTCCCGAACTCATTACGGAAGAGTTAAAAAATGAAGTAAGGTGTACTAAGTAACAATGTAAATCCAAAAATTTAACATTCACTTATTCACATTCACTTAGCCCCACGTTGTACCCAGGAACAAGGTTTTAGGTCTGCAGTCTTTCAGCTGAATTTTTTATCATAGTACTTGTATAAATTAGTTAATTAATCTTCCACAACAATAAAATTTGGCAAATCGCATTAAAATTAAAAATTGTGGTTTAACAAGCAAACGTTGAAGCAGTTTTTAGTCAATTTTTAGACAAATCATTTCCTGCTCCACCATCGGTTTGATGCAACCAAAAAATATAAATAAATAATATCAAATGATGGACATGCACTGCCCGCACATCAACTTCCTAAAGATTCTTCAAAATTTGTCAATACAAAGGTACTGCCCAAATGAAATATGAACATTCATCACGATCTCTGATGTGTTTGGGTTGAAATGGCTGTTGCAAAAATAAGTGTGATTCAATCAAATAAATAGAATGTGGCACGTAAGTGTATATGCTTGCGTCAGCAACTGCTCGTATATTTGTTGGCGTCTTTTCAATGGAAGTGTTAATTAATTTGGAATGAATGATTACCAAAAATTAACGTACGATCTCAAACAATGGAAGACATAATGCAGCTCCTCGTATCGATGTTATTTATTATTTAAAAAACGGTCTAATTTATATTCAGTTATTTTACCACGTGTTTCAGCATGCACGCATTGTTAGTAAGTAATGCTTATTTCCTCTCTACGTACATACATACATCTCAATTGAAGACGCCTAGGCACAGGCGCACACACTCACTTATAAATGATGCAGAGTTTGGCACCGTGAGCTGCTCATTTTATGACGTACGACTTTAAAGTCTCTTAAAATACGGTTTCTTCCACAAAAAATCATTAGACTCGAGCACGGATTATGCAGCTAGAGCGCAAAAATAATAAAAACTCCGCTGGATTTCGACTGGAGTGTTCATGCGAGTAAAACATTCTCAAACTAACTACGTACACGGTATCATAACAACAGTTTCCACCTCATATCATGTATATAAATGCACATATGCATTCACAAGTATATAAACATTTGAATATATTTGAATATGCAGGTGCATAAATTTAATAACAAACGCGTGGAAAAATTTGCTAAACAGATTTCGTAATGGACTGACTCGTTCAATATAAAACGTTACAAAATATTTGGAGGCAAACATTTATACATGTTATTACTGAAGTTTGATGAAAATATTTGCCAATTTAAAAACTAAAATTTCCTCATTCAATGCAGCTGCACGCACGTCACTTTGTGACACTGAAGAAAATGAAAATTTTTAAAAATTAAACATTGAAAATTATTTTTCATCCACGAAACCTCCAAAAATTTCAATTGAACCGAAAAATGAAATTCTAATTTCGTTAAAATATTATTTTAAAAAATTTTAACATATTTTGAACAACAAATTATTAATTTTGAAAACTAAATATTTAAAATTGTAACTGAGAACAAATATTATAAAATATTGAACTCGTGACTGGAACTTTTATATTCAATATTTCAGTGGAATTGTTCGGAATTTAAAAAAAAAAGTTTTTAATTTTATGTTGAAGAATGCCAAATCATTTTTCCTTAATTACTTTTTAGTTTTTTTTCTTAATATTAAGTACTTAATATTTTTATTAATATTAAGTACAGCTAATATGGTTTGTTTGGTTTTAAATGCAAGTTAAAATAATTGTATAACTTTCTTCGTGTAATTTATTTTTTTCCATATGAAACTAATCAAGTGTAAACATATTAACTAAACTCTTATTGCGTTGCATTGTATTATATTGTGTTTTATTGTATTGTATTGTATTGTATTTTATTGTATTGTATTGTGTTGTGTTGTGTTGTGTTGTATTGTATTGTATTGTATTGTATTGTATTGTATTGTATTGTATTGTATTGTATTGTATTGTATTGTATTGTATTGTATTGTATTGTATTGTATTGTATTGTATTGTATTGTATTGTATTGTATTGTATTGTATTGTATTGTATTGTATTGTATTGTATTGTATTGTATTGTATTGTATTGTATTGTATTGTATTGTATTGTATTGTATTGTATTGTATTGTATTGTATTGTATTGTACTGTACTGTATTGTATTGTATTGAAAATTTTCATTGAGAGTTCAATTAATTATTTAGTTAATTATTTAACATTTATGTGCACATTTTGATTATTTCCACATAATGAAACAACCAAACAACATGTTGTATGTACTGTACATTTTTCCGGTTAAAAATTCAAACACCCACAATAGAAAACACCACGACTGTTTGCTATTTTTATGTAAGCAGAATGTTTAAAGCCTCTTAAATTACTCTCCAAATTACAAAGTTACTTCTGCTCTGGTACTAATTTTA